TCAGCAATGCAGCATTTCATATCCAAGAAACAACGTACAGTGTACAAACATGCAGAAATCTGCAACACCAATCCCAAACCAACACCAATCCCAAACAAAAAAGCCTCAACACAATAGGCAAGTTTAACATGGACAGCTACACTAATCTGATGTGTTCACATGTCTGCATAAAGCCACTCTATTTAAGGACCTTAACTGCTACAGTAAGATATTCTTTCAGAAATTTATATATGCATCAAGAAACACATGCACTACTTTGTTCAGTTTGAAAAGTCCTGCTTAAATTTAGAGCTAAAACAAACAAACAAATTCCCCCATCAGATGCTACTGCAGAAACGTCAAAACCAGCAGGATTTAAGAAATAAGAGCTAGACACATACTCTTCCCGAGTCTACCAAATGCTTGGTAACTCCAAGTTTGTTCTGTTCAATACACAAATCTTTTTTTTTTCTTCACATGTAAAGCACAACTTCAACATAAGCTGAAAGGAAGAGATAATGTTGTGTTACTGACTTTCTAACCCCCCACTTCACCACCACTGCACTGTACCTTCCAGTAGTTTGGCTGACAGCTTTCATTGAGCCACTTCGAATACTCCGAAAGAGAATTTTGGGTAGTTAAATCTTCATATGGAAACCCCATTCTTACAGCAAACAGGGAGGCTTTAAAAGCAACAATAAAACCAAAACCATTAATTTATTCACATTTTTATATATTTTACGATAATGCATTCATGTAATCTCATCTAGAAATCAAGAAATCCTATATTCTCCATGGAGATGAGAAATAGTTCTTCAGAGGCCAGCATCAGCCATTATAGTGATGTACAATTGCAGTAACAAACTCTCCTTTTACTGGCAATATCAAATTTCCGCAATTCACTGAAACTATGTTAACATATGCAGGTTTAACATTGAAAGAGAAACAAATTCAACTCTGTAAATCAACTGGACACAAATACCTGGCGCAAGAGTGACCTGAGCTGTGTCTCAAATATTTAAATAAGCGATACAAATTAACAGTGTATTTTCCTTAAAAAGCTAGTCTTTTATGAAATGAAAGTAACAGTGTCACAACATCTGCCACTAAACCACTGACATTTGCAGAAATCAATCCACCAGCTTACATCATATTACACTTTTCCCTTGCAGCTTTAAAAGTGACTGCTTCCCTCTTCAGCATGTGTCAAAGGAGCAAAAGAAATACCAACACAAGCAATGGAAGAATGCTGCACTTCTAAAAACAGCTTTTATAGTTAGGGAAAAGGGAAAAGAAGAAACAGAACTGTTCTCTCATCTTTTAGTTGTAGATACCTTTGATATTACCTAGTAACAGACATTGCTGCTAGATTCAGATGCTTGAATAATTTGTATTACCAATCCTTGATAATAATGTCACTATAAGACACAGCTGAACAAGCTTCTCTAGTCCAAGAATTAAGAAAAACCTTCAATTATTTCTAGACAGCTTTTCTGTGTTTTTCTCAAAAACTGACACAATTAAAGTCTCTGCACTCAGAGGGTAAGAAAACTGACAGCTTCAATCAAATAGATATTTATTTTCCCATTTCTAGAGCAAACAGGCAGGGGTTTTTTGTTGGTTTTCCTTTTTGTTTGTTTTGGTTTTAAGGCAAAACTGTGCTTGTCCATGTTTGTCAGTCATTATTTCATGAATTTTGAAGCCTTGTTTCTATTTCAGGAAGCAGAGTTGCTCCTTTTTACTCCCTGAACTTTTAACTTGGATTATTGGTCTAAGTATTGCTAGGACAAAAAGGGAAAAGGTCAGGCACACTGCGATTATGAAACAGTCCTATTTGTTAGAGACAAACCTGAAAATTTCTCGGCAGATGACAAACAAAATAATTCTTTTTCTCCTCACAATTTTGCACTGAATGTCCCTCACCAGACTCAGTTCTACATTAGTATATATGGCCTCTGTTGCTAGTTTTTCAAGACCTGTCCTAAAGAAATTAGACAATGAATGGAGAAAGAAGTTCTTTTAACAGTGCAAAAACTGATCAGTGTTGTTATCTCTATCCGTTCAACAAAAGCTACATTAAGGACAAGAAGTAGGAAGCAGGGAACTACAGGTTGGTCAGCCTCACCTCGTTCACCGAGACGACGATGAAACAACTAACCCTGGAAACCATTTCTGAGCACATGAAGGACAAGAAGGTGACTGGGAGTAGTCAGCATGGCTTCACAAAAGGGAACTAATGCTTGGTCACCCCGATAACCTTCTACGCTGAAACAACTGGTTTGGTAAATGAGGGGAGAGCAGTGGATATCGTCTGCCTTGACTTCTCTAAGGCTTTTGACACTGTCTCCTCTAAGATCCTGAAAGAGAAGCTGATGAAGTATTGGATGCATGAGCAGACAGTGACATGGACTGAAAACTGGCTGAAGGGCTTAGCTCAGAGTGTGGTGATCCATGGTAGGAAGTCCAGTGGCAGCCAGTAACTAGCCGTATACCACTGGGGTCAATTTTGGGTCCATTAACGTTCAATATCTTCATTAATATCTTGATGATGGGGCAGAGTGTATGTACCCTCAGCAAATTTTGTAGATAATACAAAACCGGGAGGAGAGGCTGAAGCACCAGGGGTTTATGCTGGCATCCAGAGTTATCTCAACAGGCTGGAGAAATATGCTGATAAGGACCTCATACAGGGCAACAAAGAGAAGTGCAATGTCCCACACCTGGGGAGGAACAACCCCATGCACCAGTACATGCTACGGCCACCTAGGGGGAAAGCAGCCTTGGTTCCAGCGGGCAGCAAGCTGAACACCAGCCAACAATGTGCCCTTGCAGCAAAGGCAGCTAACAGGGCAGGCTGAGCTCCAGCATTAGGAGAAGTGCTGCCAGCAGGTCGAGGGAGGTGATCCTTCCCTTCTACTCAACACTGACAACACCACACCTGGAGTAATGTGTCCAATTCTGGGCTCACCACCACAAGGGAGACATGGACATACTGGAGAGAGTCCGGCGAAGGGCCACAAAGATGACTAAGGCACTGGAGCATCTCTCCTATGAGGGAAGGTTGAGAGAGCTGGGACTGTTCAGCCTGGAGAAGAGCAGGCTCGGGGGGGATATCTCATCAATGTATATAAATACCTGAAGAGCAAATGTAAAGAGGACAGAGCCAGGCCCATTCCAGCGGTGCCTGGAGACAGGACGAGAGGCAGCAGGCACAAACTGAAACATAGGAGGTTCCCTCTGAACAGCAAAAAAGGCTTCTACACCCTGAGGGTGACCAAATTGCTCAGAGGTTATGGAGTCCCCCTCCTTGGAGATATTCAAAAGCTGTCTAGACATCGTCCTGGGCAACTGGATCTAGGGGCCTCTGCTTGAGCAGGTGGGTATGACCAGAAGACCTGCCAACCTCAATCATTCTGTGATTCTGTAATACCACCTCTTCCTTAAGTTCTCTGTGAACCATAGAGATTTAAATTACCTAAACTTTAATTTTTTGAGTCAAAATAAGCAGAAATGTGAGGACTATTCAGGTGTCATATCACAGATTCCATCGATGTTTTAATCTGAAAAACAAAACTGAAACTGAAAACAAAAGTGTCATGTTACTTTCATTAAAACTTTACTGCCAGGAACAATGTACTAGTTGCACACTTAAAAATGATCAACTAAACAGAATCAGTGCATGCCTCGGCTTGCGTCCTCTTCTCTGGTGTCAACCACTCGTAGAAATGAAATTTCAGGAGGCAGGAAGACTTTCCTGGATTATACCACTAAACTTACTCAAATAAAAGTGCAGTTTAGTTACTGGGAAAAAAATAAGGAATAACCTCAGCAATTTTGCATCTTGAATAAAAAAACATGAAGAGTATAAGTGTTTATATGAAAAGGTTTTATTATTTTAGCTAGCTTTTCTGGTGAAAATGTAAATACTTTTCTTTAGAAAAGCAACTCATTTCTCTCGCATGCTGATTTGAAGGTTTAAATGTATTCTTCTGAAGCTATAGCTTTTTCTCTTTATCAATCTTCACCTCGTAGTGAAGTTTATCCAAGTTTAGTTTCCTTTATCCATGTTCTTATTTCCACAGAAAATACATTCCTTCACAAGAAATACTGTTCTTCCTCAATTTCTCCACTGCTTTGATTCATTCACTAACATTTATGACCATCTCCAATTTTTACTCAGATATAACAGTTTCAAACTGAAAGAGGGGAGATTTAGATTAGATATTAGGAAGAAATTCCTTACTGTGAGGGTGGTGAGACACTGGAACAGGTTGCCCAGAGAAGCTGTGGCTGCCCCCTCCCTGGCAGTGTTCAAGGCCAGGTTGGATGGGGCTTTGAGCAACCTGGTCTGGTGGGAGGTGTCCCTGCCCATGGCAGGGGGGCTAGAACTAGATGGTCTTTAAGGTCCCTTCCAACCCAAACCATTTTATGATTCTATATCTTCAGCTTTTGTGTCTTTCTTTTGCCACTGCTGATAGACCATGGCTTCTAAGGAAGTTCTCACTGACAGTAAGGACTCAGCTTAACAGCCTTGTCCACATGACCCCATTATGCAAAAAGCCATCTTCTTATGCTGGAAAATATATTTTAAATCAGCACTTTAATTCTTCTGTTCCTTTATCTTCCTTATCTTTTCTGCTCAATTCTACTAAAAGTTAAAAATATTTTGGTACCTACCAATGACAGGGAAAGGAGTATTATGATCATTTCTTCCTCCTCTATTTAACACCTGTCCAATTTCTTTTTCAGCATCACCTGTGAAATATCTCTTACCAAAACCATTTGTAACCTAATCACAGCCAACTGCTCAAATTAAATAGAATCTGCAAATCTACCTCTCTTTTTCAGACCTTCTGTCAAACACTGTCCTCACCTTCCTCTACTCCTTATTTTAGTCCATGAAAAAACCTGCTGTTGCCCTTATTTCTCTATCATTCTGTACACATTAATTCATTCAAGAATCTTATCTTTTCTTATCAATTTCAAAGCACTTGACTCACCCTTAACACTCAGATGTCAATTTCCACACTTATCTACACATTTCTTTGAGCACACACATACATTTTAAAAGTCCTTAACTGTGAGCCAAGTAACTTTCCACTCATTACTCATATACCTCCCTGGAATGTACATCTCTCTTGAAAGCAGTATTATTCTAACAGCAGCATCTCATATTTTAAAAGCTCAACTATCCCTTGAGTTTGCTGTTGCTCTTTAGGCATGCCTAGGAGTACAGTCCCTAATGTAATTTTTTAAATTCAAATTCTCACCAATATTTTTAAACTATGAAATATACTAATCGTGCTCAATATGTACTAGAATAGTAGAATATAACTGCAGTGTCTACTACTTCTGTCATACCTTAGAAAAAGTTACCCCATGGTTTTAAATGAAATATTTACATCTAACAGCTTCTATAGTACCTTTCATATTAGTGATATTATCAAAGGCTTGGGATTACAAGTTAATATTTGCAGTTAAATTAGTGGAAAGACCATAAAATTGTGTTTTTCTTGTCATGTGCAAATAATGGAATAAAACCTAATTCATACACATGGAATAAGAGAATAAACGCTTCTGAACTATTTGACTAGATTCATCTGATTGTCAGGGAATCTCTTCACCTATATTACCAAGATTAATATGTGACAATTTTAACAGGAAGCATTTTAAGAAGAGAGTATGACTTGGAAACAGTAAAAGGAATAGTTACCTGACTCTCCCACTAATAATGTATGTTTAGTGTATTCAATGACCTTTCGTGCTACACCAATGGCATTTTTTATGTGCCTGAGATCTGCAACTGCCCCAACTTCCATAGAGTTGCTGAAAACAAAAAATATTTTAAACTTATTAAAAATATGACAATAATTGTACATTTTTTATCAGACAAAACCTGTTCTCATCTAAATTAGAAAGCTTTCTCCTTTAACATATTGCTTTAATTGTTCTATGCCATAGACAGATGGCATCACACTAGTAGGGAAAAACTTCATACATACATTGTTTCCTTTCACAGGCACTAGGATGTTGCTCAAGTAACCATAACTCGATCCACAGTAACGTTTTCAGTAGAGTAGCTATTTTGTTACATAAACTCATAACACAAAGCAAACATTTGCAGCTACTTTTTAATCAGGACAGCTTTAAATGGTAAATAAAGTATAGAAGACAACTGCTCCAGAAGTGAAATATTTACTGAATGAATCTAAAGGGAGAGCTTACAATGCTACAAGCCATCTGCTTTGCAACTGCTGTATCTAGAGCAGGATTACTGCACCACATGTAAAGACTCAATAACAAACGTGCTCAGCTACTCTTCCACCAATTAGATATTTTTCCTAGTTCCACAAGTTAACACAACTTGTCCCACAGTCATCCCTAAACCAACAAGATCTCTGTAACAACCCTTACACTGAAGTGTGCTAAAAATTACAGGGATCCCTCTTTTCTCCATGCAGTTTTCTTACCCATCCATAATCATTGCATCCAGTGTTGTTTCTCCACTTTCATCTGGGCTTCCTCCATATCCCACGCTCCCATCACATTGGTCAATCTCACACTGACCACAGCCTCTCTCAACCGCATCCAGCTCGGAACCTCCCGATTGTAATACTCTCCAAGCTGTAGTAAACACAAATAATTAAATGTCACCAGTGAAGTCTCCACTACTGCTTTAAAGAATGTCGTAAAGACGGGCACGATGAAAACACACTATGTAAGTGGATAAAAAAATTACACTATAAGTTATAGGTGAAATAAAGTCAAAATATAATTATATTCAAAAGAATGTAAAGCATTACTCTTCTAAATATTGTTTCTCTTACATATCTGATTAGTGCTTCTGATGAGAAATGAAGATTTTTTTTCTGACTGCAAAGGTATTATTTACCAACAATCATCACAACTTCTATATAATTACAAAAAAAAAAAAAAAAAGGAAAGAGAAGTTATAACAAGCAGCCCTCAAAAGCTTCATGTGAGAATACTAAGTGTCCAGCTGCAGAATAAAAATATTTAAACCTACATCAGTAACTACATAAGAACAAAAAGAAAGTGGAAACAATATAAACAATATAAAAAGTTTCAGTCTCCACCTTCTTCTGTTCAACCTTTAGTCTTCTATTCTTTAGGATCTAGCTCATGGTACAATTTCATAAGACATTACGGACGTGCCAAACGACATGACTTGAATAAACGGTGCCTGAAGGTTTTGCACATGTGAAATTTCACAAGGTCAGACCTCAGGCAAGATTTTCCAAGATGCGTGAGCTTGCTGTTACTGAGTTGGAATCCTGCTTCTTCCTCCTTGTGCTGGCTCTGGTGCTCCGTGACATGCCAGACCCAGCACACGGGAGGCAGCAGAAGCACACAGTCCAACTCTTTTTGCCAGAACTATTACACCACCTCAACCATCGCAAAAAGCCTCATCTTGATAAATGTGGCATGAAACCACCTGCACCAAAGAAAAGGTAAGACTTAATACCCAACATCCATCTATAGTAAAGACTACGAACTTCAGTGTGAGAAGCACTGCTTCCATTCCTATTACCTTTATTACTGTGATTAGCCTTAACACAGGCTTCCAAAAGGTACAAAAGCAAGGGCCTTGCAGTTTTCATGACCATATTTCACTTCTGACCTATACAAGGCTTTATAGGTAACCCATTTCACTAGCAAGCCTTCCCTAACAAGGGGTTATTTACAACTCAGCTATGCTAAGATAGCCTATGAGTCTTTTAAAATCACTATCCACAACTACTTTATGTTGCCATAGGAAAAACCTGTTTTGACTGTCAATAACACACGACTAAACAACACAGAGCTCCAAAAAGAATATTCAGAGCTTTCTAAATCTTTGAGGGCAAGAATCTCAGCAGCGCACCACTAAAAACAAGTCACCACTGCAAACAGCCACAAGAGTGTAAGCCACGTTATTAGCGAAAGAATGTTTTTAATCTAGTTTTTCCACAGCTCATAACCTCTTTAGGCCCTTTCCCAGCCCGCAGACTCCCTGCCGGCACCGGGTTCGCTCCGAGCCGTGGCGGAGCAGAGCAGGCAGGAGGGAACCCGGGCCCGCGGCAGCCCCAGCCCTTCAACGGAAGCAGGGTCACAGCCCGCTACTTATTGCCATACAGAACCGCGGGCACGCCTAGAAGACTTATTTTAAGCCAAGACCCAAAGCCCTCCCCGCGGCCCCTCAGCAGGAGGAATACCGAGCGAGCGGTACACCACTACCCGGTACGGTACGGTACTGTACTGCATGTACGGTACTGCCCGGCCCGCCCTGGCCCGGCCCCCCGCCGGGGCACCTGTCTCTGCGGCCTTCCTAAACGCCCAGGTGTTGATGACTACGGGCAGGGCGGCGGCTGAGGCGGCGCCCGCCAGCTGCAACACGACGAGCAGGAGAGGCGCGACCGCCATACACCACCGGCCCCCGCCGAGTCCCGCCCCCCTC